TCTACACCCTTCCGGACCCCTTGCACCGCCGCTTGGAGGCGGAGGAGGAGCAGAGGCCTTTGGAGGAGCTGCAGTTTGTTTCTCAAGAAGGCCTCCAGATGCCAACCCAAAACATCCCAATGAACCGGCTATGACTTTGACCAGGAGTTCCAGCCGCTGTAGCCTGTAGGATCATTCGGTTTCATTTAGCAGGAGAGCCTGAAGATCATGAACGAGAACAAGATGAACTTGCAGAAGCACTTGGCCCACTTCGGGATGAACATCTCCTCCACTCCGAGCTACACCCAGGCTGACAAGGAGAGCGGGGAGTGCTGAAGCCTGGGCGTGACAGGGTACCTTTTTGGAATGCCTTCAGCGACACCCAAAATCTTCACTGTTCTGTGAAATGCCGACAGTCTTGCACCAAACGAACACGTCATCAGAAAGCATTCAAGCTCGTTATAACAAACCAATGGTGTCAACCAAAAGCCCAGAAGACCATCAATGGCTGTGCTGCTATTGCAGGAGATCTTCTTGCGCTTGATGGAGGGCGGTTTGGACACACCACGCGCGGCCGGACCCTTCCAGGAGTGTTAGGTTTAGGACCTTAAATAAGTTGTATAATGATGTATAATGAAGGAGCCACAGTTAGCTCCCTCTTTGACTGGACTTCGTGATGGTGATTTGCCTCTGGGAACCAGTGAGGTATTTTTGTGCCAAAAAGCACCAGATGCCGAGTGTGATCGAAGTCCAAACGATGGCGTAGGATCCGTAACGGGACGCCGTTTCGAGACTAGCGGAGAGACTGGAGTCACTCCGATGACGAAGTGGAATTCGTCATGCTGAGTCATGCTGGAGCACAGCTCCTGCTTGTAAAGGAAAGTCATCTTCCAAGGGTTGGGTTCCATCGATATCCACTTCCATGTGAGGCTCGGCTAGCCTGTTGCCGAAAGCGTCGGAGCCTGTTGCCACAGAGGCCAGGCGGTCCTGCATTGAGATCCCTCGGGCCGGGGCAGGTTACGCAGACGAAGACTCACGGAAATGAGTTTATTACATAAATCTATATCAACCTTGACTGGTTCGTTTGGATTGTAAGATCCTCCCCCCACATCTTTTTTTCTGCAACCAGAGATTGTGCCCATTTCTCATATAGGATGAACACTTGATGTTATCCAACAACTGCAGAGCGAATTCTCTCGAGGGTTGGGCAGCGATTCCGGCGTGATTCTTCTTGGGCAATGTCTCAAGGATCGTATTGCTGATGATCGAATTTGTTAGAGTACTGGAACTCCCACTGCTGCGCAAGAGCTTGCAAGGTGAACGATGTTCCAACATGAGCAGGTTGTTTTATGCTCCTTGTTCTTAGGTTCGGTGAAATATGATAGCTTGACAAGAGTGATCAATTAATATACCAAGATTCCTGCTGCGCCTGTGTGAATCTCCGACAAAAGCTCTTTCTGCAGCTGAAGGGAAGGCCTGGAATTGGCCAGCTGGTTGTGAAGTTCTTTTATCGCTTCTGATGAAAACCCTCTGATGTTTCGTTTTGAGCACATGGAAAAGTGTGGCAAGAAAACAACAACAACAACAAGTCACTTCCACTTGTTTGGGAGGAAGGTACCGGTTGTGCTTGAGTTGGAGGCGTGGCTTCACAGACCACTGCACCGGAAAGGCAGTCGGCGTCCATGGTCCATTTGTCATGACTTCGCCGCCAGTCCTCTGCAAAAAAGATAGATGTCGTTTCGATGGACGACAAAGACCAAAACAAAGACCTCAAAACCGGCCCCATGAGCCGAAACGGCCGGTGCGACGACTGAGAGCTGGGTTTCCTCCATCGGTGTAGTGGCAAAAATCGGCGCAACGGTCATGTTGAGCGAGGTGTCCTTTATCGGCTGGGTTCCGTTCAACAACGTGTCAGCGTTTGCGGTGTATAACAATGTAATTATAAGTTCTATTGTTACTCGTAAGTTTCTCCAAAATCTAGAAACCAAATCATTAGTGCGAGCGCTTCAAAACGTATCAAAAAGGCGTCGGCGTATCCAGAAACCGGTGTATTGCTCCCAAAATGGCCCAGTCGGCCAGGCTTCAATTTGCTACTCCGAAGAGGCACCAGCAAGTTCTTTTTGTGTTTCTTTTTTAAATGCACAATTCCAAGAGAATGATCCACATCAAAAACATATCAAGATGTCAAATGTCAAGACATTTAATTCTTTTTCATGAACAAACCATGCCCATCCAACAGAACATATTTTCACTACTGGTCCTTGTCATAGACATGGAACATGGACATGTCCAAGACAATTTCCCTTTACATAGTAGCAAGAAGCTACTAATTAGGTGGAGGTCATCGCTCTTTAGCTTGGAGGCCATCGCTATGAGTGTAAGAAGAATAGCTACTAGTATTCTGAATAGAACGGTGAACCAACGGTTCCATGTCGAACGACCCATGGCGAGATACATGCGAGCCTCCCAATCGTGATGTCGGAGACATTGAGATCTCCCTATTGCCAGTAGTGGGTTGGTTTAAATATCTATGTCGACAACCATTCTCCTGAATCGTTTCTTTTTTCAGTTGTTCACATCCTGTCAGACTGTAAGGTGTTCACATCCTGGCTGATGCATTCACCCCATGTGTTTGTTCTTTGGGAGCCATGCCGTTCCCCACCGTTTGGAGGTGTCTTCCACTTTGCAGACCTTCTACATAGGTAGCTAGTAATCCTACTCCAAGAAAGACAAAAGGAGAAGAACCCCGCAAATGTACACTGTATATATATATACATATATAGCCATTTGCGCGCCATCAAGTCTAGCCTCTGTCTCTCGTATCGCAATCTCGTGCCTCCGAAATCGTCATGGCAAGCTTTGCCGTGGTGGAGCCAGATAGCGCATCTGAGGAGCTGGTGTCCCGTCGTGCCTGGGCTCAGCCAGCTTACCGAAGATTAGGGATGGCCAAGCTGAAGAGCTACGTCCAAAGGGTGTTTGTTGTTGGGGTGGAGTCATTTGTGTGCCTGAAACAAAGGGGTGAAACGGTCACGGTGGAAAGTTGCATCCAAAAGATGTGCAGCTGAGCATGAAGTTGGTACGCCCTGCTGCTTGCTGTTCAATAAGGCTCATGGCCGGTGAAGAAGACCTTGTGTGTGGCTGGAGTCCTTTTGGCAGTGGTGGGCCTGGGATCTCTGCGCTTCTCCAACCAATGCCTTAATTTGGATGCCTTACAGGGAAAGTCCGAGGCGCAGATGGATGAGGCTGACGCCCGCAAAGGACAGCGACGACAAACGTCCAGTCTTCTCGAGTTCCAGCGAAAGAGACAGAATCAACACGACCACAGCGCTTTTCGCTTGTACCGCTTGTTGACATCCATCACTTCCTCCCAGATTCCTTCAAGCATGGCTGGCCTTGGCAATACCTCTGCTTCCAGGATTGGCCCGTCCCATCCACTCTCGTCGTCATGTGTTCGGTTTGTCTTCGCGTCTTCGTTGTGTCATTTGTGGGAGGCTCTTCTCAAGACGCGCAAGAAGCTCCTGGAGGCCGGAAGGTTGAGAAGTCGGAGGAGACATATCATGGGCCCAGCTTTGTGTCATTTTGATTCATGTTGTGTCCATCAAGATCAGCTATTTTAACAGGACCAAATCCTCCAAAATGTCATTTTTGCAAAGAAGGCTCCATTGCTTCTATGGCTGCCACGGAAAAACGCAAGTCCAGCTGGATACGTAAACTGGAGACACCAATCGAATTCTCCGAGGGGAAGACGGATTCCGCTGGGCCTTGTCTCGGGCCGGGTCGGGTGTTCTCAGGTGAAGAATCGCAGCCTGGCAGAGAAGACCATTTTGAAGGCCATGCAGAAAGCTGGCCACGATGCGCAAAAGGATTGGGAGGCACGGACCCAGAGAGGTGGTTTTTCCGGACGCACACCGGACCGAGTGTACGTGCGTGGAATGGAAGGTGGGTGGCAAGTTTGTCCTGAAGTGACTGGTGGCACTGCCATCCAGTCGATGACAGAGTCAAAGCTTGTAATTTTGTGCTTGGGTGATGATCCTTGTTCAAGAGAGAGCTGGGAGGACCAGATATCCTTGTGGTGATGGACGGAACCTTCCAGATCACTACAGGTATCCAAAAAGACTCGGAACATGAAACAAAAAGCATTCGTCGACACGGTCAGAAGTCTCCTAGTTCACATCACACTGTTTATGACAACCACGACAACAAGTCGCCGGGCGAAGTCCGAAGCCCTCCAAAGCCCTCGTCCGTGGCTTTCGGCGAGGAGCATCACATCCGCAAGCTGGACACCTTGACGGTTCTGAAGGACCGCCAGGCCATCAAAGACTTCCGCCGTGGGCAGCACAACAAGGAGCATGTCGCTGGGTCGCTGATGCTGTCGCTTCCGTTGGTTTTTCTTTGCTGTTCACTGGCATTGGATGAGATGCATTGCTGCTGATTGAGAAGTTTGGGTGATCATCCCTATTCTGCCGGCATTTGTATCTATTCGTGTTACTGGATCATATCTTCACCATGGTCTTCTATAGGTAATGCAGGAGAACTTGTCAATGTTTCTCAACCGTATCCATATGTATATGTGGACCGCACTGTATCATGTGCCTCTTGTCTTCATTTTGCCTGATCTTTTCAAGGTCTTCCACCGATTCCACTGTAGAATAGACTTCCCCGGTCCACCGATTCCTTTGCCGCCTAGAAGCCGCAGGAAGCTGGACATGCGGAATGCGCCTTCAACATTTTGGAGGCAATCATAAGAAGAAGAAGAAGAGGAAGACATCAATATCATCATTGACAGAGAACCTTTTCTGTTACAAACTGTTCGTTTTTTGTTGTCTTTGTGTTTGTTCTTTGAAGATTTTGGAGGCCTTTGTCTCGGTGGTGGGCATGGGCGACGACATCAACGGCATCGTCCGCACCTGCCCTCCTCCCCGCGACGGGGAGTCTGAGTTGGCGTGCCAGGTGGACGCATCCATCCTGGTGGCATGGGTGCCGTGGAAGAATGAGAATAAGTTGATGATGATATTGATGATATATTATATATTATTATATATTTGATAAAGATAATTCCGAGAATAACAATAGTAGTAAGAGCAAATAGAAATCCAATATATGTTATATTGGTGGGTACTGAGTAATTACCATATATTGTAAAAAATAGTCCAGGTAATAGATGCTATATATGACCTCATTGGCAATCATATGATAAACCCTCCAGAACGGCGATCTGCCATAGCGGTGTTTTTAGAGGAAATTCGCTGGCGAGGCTACCCACACTTTGGGGGGATACCTTCAGAAGACTACCAATTCAATGCATTTTGCATCGCCTTTTGTGGGTGGGGCAGGGGTCTTCATTGCCACGGCCGAAGTCCTTCATGTGCTGCGACGCTGCTAAAGCCACTCCAAGATGATGTATGCATTTAGATGCATTTAGTTTTTTTGAATTATCAATCAATTGAAAGCTAGTAGGATGCAATCCTTGTATGGGGCTTGTGTGGTTTCTCTCTCTCTATCTATATATATATATATTGACTATATCAGATCACCCAAAAAGGTGTCAGTCTATGAAAGGACAGCCCTCTACCATTTTGTGTCGTCCATGACGCATAACGCGCATAGGGTCCCACAAAGCAGGCGAGGACCCAGAAGCATTCACTGAGATCAAACGCCCTGTGGGTGAATCCCCTGGCATGGGGAAGATGTGTCTTTTCTTTTCTCGGTTGAAGATTTGGGCGGTTGATGGGCAGATGATCCATGACAACCGTTGGCCGCACTCGCCAAGGTGGGCAACGCCGCGGCCAAGATTTCCCTCGCGGCCTCCAACTGCGCTCTGTCGCTGAACGTCGACTCGGTCTGCGCGGCGGGCGTCACCGGCCTGGTGGCCGCCTTTGGCGAGATCTCCGCGGGCGCCTGCCTGGGCGCGGCGGTGGCCCGACGGCAGGAAGCGGGTCCAAACGAGGGGAAGCTGCATGTTCTTTTGGCAGGCGTACAGATTGTTCAGTGGCAGGCGGTAATTATCCACATATAAGATCATATAAGGTTCGAACAGCAATTAAGGAGCTCCAGGGCGTTTCCCGATGCCCTTAAGATTTGCTAGTTCAAGCACATATAATGGTCAGTCCCTGGGTCTTCAAGTGTCTCCTAATATTACATAATCACTGATTTGTAAAGCAAAATCAACGTCCAGTATATTGTTTTAAGATACGATCATTCTCCACGAATGTCCTCCAGTCACTGCGAGGGTTCCTCCAGTCACTGCGACCGTTGCTGGGCTCTACTGGGGCAACGACTTGATCTCGACTCCATGTTTAAAGAGAATCAAGGAGGCCTACTAAAATTGGTTCACATTGTTCTTTTTCCACTCAGTTCCAGTGACGGCTGAGGTTTGCACGCCGACGCCCCCATCTTTGACCACTACCAAGATCAGCGTGTTGGGTGATCAGACAGTGCGCACGCCTGAAGCTGGGCGTCGTTTGTTGATCGGTGAAGGGCCAGTTGGAAATGGCGTCCAGTGTGGTGTGGATGTGGGCATGGTGGCGGCCAACATCGCCAACATCGGAGCCTCGGCTTTGTGTCTGTAGGGCTGTTATTCTTTTCTATCGGGGGAACAGGTTCATGACTGTTCTTTGGGCTGATGGTATTTGAAACTTTGAAACGTGTAGGCGGCGTGGGTTTTGTCATTGGCCAATCTCCAAGCGAGGTTTGGCCATCAACAAGGCAGTGAACGTGAATCGCTGCGGAAAGTTCGCGACTGAGAAGAACCCCTTGAACGTCCTGAAGGGCATTCCAGATGCGCTGTGCACTGTGGACATTGCTGGAGCTGTCGCATACATCAGTCACTCGGCGGATCAGATGTCCCAGATGGATCGTTCTTCGCAGGTCGGGACATGTGTTCGTCCGATTGACATGGTGTTCGTCCAATTCTCCGCTAGATGCCCAAAGCTTCGGGCTTAGTGCCTGGAAACCCTCATGAGTTCGGACACCTCTTAATGCTTCTTAGCTGACCCTGGATGCAAAAACCTGGTGCCTTGAAACCAGCGCCCCATGGCCGTGTGTTTCGGTGAAACGCTTCGCCCCAGGGCTTCAGGCTGTTCTTTTCAGGACGGTCCATCGTTCGGCGACATTTTGTCAAGAACTGCATCCGGGCTAAGAATGGAGAGTAGAAAAGATGTTGTACGATATCATACATGTGTATATTGTTGATGTTGATTTAAACAATACAGACATACATATATTATATATTTGATTATCGTTGGTGCACAAAACAAGGTGGCACTCAGCTTCTCAGACATGCTTTGCCCACTGGGCGCAAGCGACGGCCATCGGAACTGGCAGACAGAGTCGTTTGGACTTAGGTCAGGTCGTCACCTTCATCAACCTCATCGTCGTTCACTGCCAGGACACATGATCCCCACCTAAAAGTTTGCCCACACGACCACCTCTCGAACGAAAGTGAGGTGGAGCTACAGGAAGTGAGGATGCCGGAGTGTATCTGAGGATGTTCAGCGGATTCAGGCCTTCAGGTCATGATTGGTTTTTTGCCATGGTTCGCAGCTTGTAGATCTTGGGGGGCTTGTGCCTTCACGTGCGCTTCGCACCCTCTCCAACATCTCACTCTGACCCGACCAGGACTTCCTGGATGTCAGCGCCCTGTGCGGCGGTTCCATCGCCGCCATCACCACCGGAGGTGCTGCCATTGCTGCCTATGGCGGCGCGGTGCACGCCGCCTGCCGCTACAACCACCTCCTGAAGACTCCGAAGCCTACGCAAAAGGTGGCGGAGTGGAGGAGTGGCTCGTGTGTGTGGCCCACTCGGCTGGAGTACCAAAAAGGTCGGCATATCAAAGTGGTGGAGTGAAACCCCAACTTGGAGCCACCTGGATCCCCCCGAAGAGACCCCAAGATACGATATCTATTATATATTACTATTATATATATATATCGATATATCAAGTTGCTCTACGAATCGACGAAGATCTGTACAGGAATGCCAATATTCATTACCTGTCCTATTTAATTGGAGTTTTTCCTGAAGATTTCCCTGGAGAAGCATTCCGTTCATACTTTGTAGAACAATCCGGGTCATGCCTGCAATGATGCCTCGGTCATATGTTTGACGGTGTTTTGGTGTCCTGCACACGCTTGAGAATGTCGTTCAAAGACCGGTCATGCTTCAGATGACGGTCAAAGCCGAGTCACGTTTTGTGAGTCTATCCCAGTCCTACACGACACTGACGCTGGTCGACGCTGCAAGTCTTGTCGTTGGTGCAGCCCATGACAGCTGTGGCTGACTGACTCACTGCGTTTGCCGGATGGGCCGAACATACTCCTCACCAGGCATGCACCGGTGGACCCACGTCAGGCTTCTGATTCTGCGCCCGTCATGTAGGTGGTTTCAGGCATGTGCCGCATGTGCTGGCAAAGTGTTTGGAGCGGACAGTGGAGGCTTTGTGCCGAGTGCAAAGGCTGCAAAGGGTATGGGGAAGAACCAAAGCCATTGTGCAGACATGCACTGCAAGACTATAGGAACCTACGGTGTAAACATAGACGCACTTGTAATCCTTAGTGTTGTGTGCACTGGAAGCAAACTGTCCACAACATGCATAGAAACAATTAGAGGAGTGTTTTCAGCAGGTGTCCATGGTGTCCCCTTTAAAAAGGAAAAAACAAACAAACATGTCTCCACCAATGCCAAAATGGTTTTTCCACCCTTTCCAACAATACAGCGCCTTCGAACAGGTTGGTGCATAGAACTTGGGAGGCCAGCCGTCGGGAGGCGCATATCTCATCATCCTAGTTTGCGCCGAGGAAAGCCGTGGCGAAGATCAATGAGCTCTACACCCTTCCGGACCCCTTGCACCGCCGCTTGGAGGCGGAGGAGCAAGAGGAGCAGATGCCTTTGGAGGAGCCAGGCTGCTGATTGAAAAGGTACTTTCGCTTAGGATAGGCCAGAGTGTTGGATGGAGATCTAGGATGATCTGGAATGTTTGTTCAGAACAACAATACCTTATAGGTATATATAGCCGGGGGATGGAAGGGGGTATGTAGATTTGGATGTTTCTGCGTTGTTTGCTTGCTTAGTTTGTTGTTTCTCGCTCCAGAAAAGGAATCCATGTTGGAGAGGTGTTTAGTGCATATTGAACGTCAGTTTGTTTGGCTTCAGATTCGTGGTGGGTCAGAATCCAGGTCGGAGATTTCAGATGAACATTGGTGAGATTGGTCATGGCCTTTTGATCCAGGAGAGCCTTAAGATTATGAACCAGAACAAGCTGAACTTGCAGAAGCACTTGGGCCACCTGGGGATGAACATCTCACACACTCAGAGCTACACCCAGGCTGACAAGGAGAGCGGGGAGTGCTAAAACTTGGACTGATGCCAGGCTGGCGCTGGAAAAAACGGGGGTGAAATGATTACAAGATATTACAAGGATGCTGCAGATGGTGTGCAGTCCAAAGGCGACACTGACATCTTCCAGTTTCTAGAGTGGAGTGTAAGGGCATCATCAGGCATCATTAAATGAAGTTGCCACCATGGCTGTGCTGCTATTGCAGGAGACCTTCTTGCGCTTGATGGAGGGCGGTTTGGACACACCACGCGCGGCCGGACCCTTCCAGGAGTGTTAGGTTTGTTAGGTTCGGACCAAGCAAGTTGTATATCAAGGAGCCACAGGTAGCTCCCTCTCTTGACTGGACTTCGTGATGGTGATTTGCATCTGAGAACAGGTGGCTAGTATATGTGCATAATTATACACCAAAAGAATCCAAAAAGATAATCTTACGATGTGACTTCCCAGCTCTCATCCTTTGACGCCAAGTCCAAGTTGAACCTGTTGCAAACTGTAGAGATGCTGAGCTGCAGATATGATAAAACGCTGCACCACAGTGCCGAGAGCCTGTTGCCACAGGGCCAGGCGCTCCTGCTAAAGATCCCTCAGGCTCTTTTGGAAGCAGAAGAACGACCAGCGAGACAGGAAATGGTTCAGCAATACATATTTCAAGCATGTTTATATAAGATTGTTTAAGTGAATGTGTCAGTAATTACCTTCTATATTATATAATGAAGGATCAATGCCGATGTGCTTGATCCCCTGAGGGTGTTGCAGCGATTCCGGCAGGATCCATGCAACAATGACCCATGGTATCCAACTGTTGGTGATTGCATTGGGCTCCCAACGAGTTCCAACACGAGCGAAGGCATGTTTACATCGTTCCAACACAAAGACTCTTGTTTCTTGGTCACATCGTTGGGAGCGAATTCGGCAGCTGGTTGTATACTTGAGCTAGCAAAGTTCGCCTCTATTTAAACCCTTCGATCTTTCTCGAAGGTGCAGCAGGGTGGCATCGTCCAAAGAACTGGTCGAAAACCCGGGTTCTGCGCTTCTCCACTCGTTGTGGAGGTCCCCGCCTTGCGGAGGTGTTGCAGTCGGCGTCCATGGTCCATTTGATGCCATTTTGGTGCGACCTAGCCGAGCCAAAGCAAAAGAGGTGCAGAACTTGGGCGGCACCATGTTTCACGACTGCTGCATTTACTGATAAGGCACTTGGCATACCCTCAACAGGTGCTGGGGAGTCGCGAAGCTTTGTGTCTTTGGGGGTTCTTTTGTGCGTGAGGGATAGATGGGACCATGACCTTGGAAACCTGTGAAACACTCCACCATTCCTGTGATTAATTTTGTTCACCACGATGAAGAAACACAGCAGAGCTGTTTCGTTAAATAACAAGAGGTCGTTGTGGGTATGTCCACCGTCGGTCAAGCCGCAAACAAAAGAATGAAAAAAGCATGAAGAAGCCGCATTCAATGTGCGGTCTTTTCCTTCCTATCTACACCACGGCGGTGGATGTTTGTAGGATCCTATGACCCATCGCATGTCAGTAACTCCAGTCTCATGGATGGTCTGGGAATGATCCTTTTACCTAGGTTTCTTTGATCAATGGCCTGGACGGACCGGTCTTTGCGTCCAAACTTTGCGCTGTCATGTGTGGTTCAGTTCGGTGTATGTCTTGGTGAAAAAAAAACGCGTGTTGTTTCTCCAACTTTCTTCACGCCAAAACATGGTGCGCGTCATGACGAGCAGGTTTCAGTGGACCAAAAGGGAGCCTTTTTCGAGGAATTCCTGGTCATTCGGTCGAGTCGTCCACGCCATCCACCATGGAACGAGACCGGTGAATCTGTCTTTCGTGTCGCCGGTCGCGTGTCGAGCTGCCCGCTCGGGACAACGGCGAATCTTTCGCGTGTCACGCCTGCCGAATCCGCAGGGTGGTGGCACATCTGAGACTCTCGAGTCCGCGGAAGGTTGAAGACGTTTGGAGCCGACCGACGTTTGGGGCTCCGAAAGAACCCAGGGTGGAGGAAGGGGCGTGGACTTCCGGGGGCCCCGGCGGGGGTGGAGGTTCGTCCGTTCGACGGAGGTTCGTCCGGAGCTGGGCAGTGCGTGACGGGTCCTGAAATTGCATATACTGATATCACGTAATGTCCACAACGAAGTGCAGGATAGGACACTGACGAGGGCTGACAATTGGAATTTGAAGCTAAACCAGGCCCCACAAGGGGGTGGTTCATAAGCATTTTAAAGGGGAACGTTCATGTTTGTCTTGGCCGGATTGACATGTTGATGCTTGGGACACAAGCGGATTCTTTCTTTGGGATGCTTTTCCCCTGCAACTACTACTTCGACCCTCAGATCCCTGGCAGAGCCATTTCGGGTGTTTGATGGTGTTTGTTGTTTGTGTGAATATCAACCTCATCACAAGGAATGCACGGAATGAACAGGTCCAATGCCAGTCCTTTCATCTACACTCCGACAGCCTGGATGGCATGCCTCCTGGGACCACAATGCTCCTTTGCAAACCACTTCCATGTTAGGGAATCCAAGTGTCATGTCATTAGTTTCCATGCAAAAGACCGGTTGACAAACAAGAACTCAAACTCATAAAAACTGCTCGACCCAGTGACCGATAGGACCTACGCCATTTTAGTCTGACTTCTTGTGCAAAATTGCTGCTTGCTTAGCTCAACAGCTCAAGCTGGAACTTTCAGACGAAACACTATGGACAGCACGGTCCATGGTTGTTGTTTTTGCAAGGACAGGCATGCCACCCCCTTCCTGGGAATTATTATATAAAGTAAGCACACCACACACATATATGCAGGAGTCAATTTATAAGTATACCTGAACCATCGTTTGTAGCACTTTTTTTTGGCGAACATTGGTTTTGAACACTTTTGTCAGTTTTGAGCGCTTTTTGAATACATGAGCGCTTTTATAGATTTTGGAGACTATGAGCACTTTTTAGGATTGAGGCCAAATGAACCTGATTGGTCTGGGTTGTTGTCCTGGTTTATCCAAGGTAAACCACGGGCTAGACCACTTAGGACCTTTGGATCCGTATGTTCCCGTGCGCGGCCCTGCAAAGGCCACAGGCATGTGGCTCCAGCTGCGAGCCTTGGGGCGTGGTGGCGCTTGGGTTTGTTTCCTGACAAGTTGTGGGGTCACTCTAGTATAATGGAGGCTTATGAGCCTATTGGTTTCAATATGTACAGTTTGGACCCTCACTACCCTGTGACTTCACTTCATCCGCGCTATCCCATGGCCAGCAAGCTTGGCAACCATCCCTGAGGTGTGGCTGTGCATGTTTTAAAGTCAAGCACTGCGTATTTGCAATCAGTCTTTTGAAGTTTTTTGAAGGGCTCTTTGCGGCTTTGCTGCTGCATGCTTTGCTAGCTTCTGTTTTCCTCAGCCCCGACAGTTCAAACCTAGAAAGCTGCACTGCCGCAAGTGCCATGCCGGTGGACATCACACCTGTGCTAAAAGAATGGATGGATCAGGATGAGTTGGTTTCCCAGGCTGCAGTACACAACCTTGTGTCCATAGGCGTTGGAATGGACATTGATGCAGCGGAATCACACGGCATCTTGCTAGCCCCTGTGATGAAACATTTGGGAATCTCGTTGGCACATCCTGGACAACTTCATTCATTGAAAGTCACTACAGGGAGGGTGGGTGGGAGAACAACAAACAGCCTGTGCTCCCAAATGCTTAGGACTGAAGCCATGTATTCAGGTAGTCATGGACTTGGTTCTCTGCATGTATACGAATTGCAAGCCGTATGGGAAGAAGGTTCCCTCGAGTAACTTGCCTGTTTACATATCCAGCAAAGTTGCTCTCTATCCGGCGCTATCCTCTGTTATGTGTATGTTTTTCTTGGGGGGGTGCCCAAGGCACTACGATCCGGAAGCATTCGTGGTACATCCGCAGGCTTATCACAACTTGGTCAAGGTGGGCAAAACGTGGGTCTTGTCCCCGTTCTGAGGGTCAAAGGCTGCTATTCGAGGCTGCAGGTATTCCCATCCCCGAGAGACTTTGGGCAGCAAGAGGTACAACTGTTTAGAAAGATTATGTGATGTATGCTCTGCTCAAGTTGCTTTTCGTGTGAATCCTGAGCGCTGCATCCTCACCCAAGGATCTGAGTCTGGAACCACTGAAGGTGATGAAGATGAAGATGAATATGAAGGGATGGAAGGAGAGGAGGAGGATGAATTTGAGGATGATGAGTGTGTAAATGGTGATGATGTTGCTGATGAAGATGGTGAAGATGAAGGTGATGGTTGTGACGACCATGACGATGTAGAGGCTGAAAAGGTGGTGACCACAAATGAGGCTGAAGTGACAAGGTGCGATGAACGTGTTCCTACGCATTCCGAGGCCGATCTGATTTGGGTGGACAACCATTGAAACATAGTTGGAACTGTCAAACCATGTGCGGACATGATGTACATGCCATGGTGTGCACGTGTGTCTATACATGAAGACACTCTGTGCAGCTCGCAGGAAGTGCCAAAGTGTGGGGATCAACCGCCTGATCAATCAGAGGTTCTTGATCAACCTGATGGCCAAACGGTACCGACTTGCTTTAGCCAATGTCCCAGTTTACCTTTCTAGACACGTGTGCAATGCATGGCTCCATGTACCTCATGTGTGCCCCAACGTGGTTGAGGCCCCACACTGGCAGTGGCAATGGACGTGGTGGTCACACCTCCGCCAAAAAGATGCTCTTTGGCACCAAGTGTGGCAGCTTCCAACCCAAACAGAACATGCTCCACTTTTTGATCAAAACAATTGTCCAAGTCCAGATAAAAAAATCCTTTGATAACTCTTCTGAGGTTTTGTTGATCGCAGGGGCTCATCTTCTTCGATCCTGTCTGGAGACAAGGTGGCTGACCCGAAGCTGGCTGAGCTTCAGGCCTTGAGAGAAATAGAGGAGGAACTGAAGCATCTCACGGCCTTGCATCTGATGAAACAACCCACGATCGGGACAATGGGAAACGACAGTGCCATATACGCACATATTTGCATCAAATCAATGCAATGGACCTTACTCACTTGAATGATCTATATAGATCGGTGTATATTTTTAGTGTATCTGTTTGATTGTCTGTTTGAAGCCAAGGTATGGATCCAATGGATCTAATGGACACGTTTCCTTTGTTGCCGGCCTACATGGATGACGTGGCAGAAAACCTAAAGAAAACATTGGTGTTTGAACCACTGCCTTCTTCAAAGGAATCACATGGTGATGAGAGTTCACCAAAGCCAGTTCCCATGGAATCAGATGGTGGTGAGAGTTCACCAAAGCCATCTCCCATGGACCCACTTTTGTCTTGCAAGCCTGATCAGTCTCAAGAACTGGCACCAGAAGAGGCCATCCCAAGTCAGCATCCAACCCCCAGTCAGCCACCTTGGCTCCGCACCCTGCAGTGATTGTCCCAAAGAAGCCTGCCATGGAGGATGAGGAGGCTTCGCTTGCTTTTGGAAACCCTCCTGGAACTAAACGTGAAACCCATGTGCATATACACGTGTTTTTGTTCAATTGCATCCTGTTTCAAACCCTCCTGGATCCTGAAGGCCAAAGCTTTGGAAGCCATCCGTGAGACTCCGCATATCAGCCCGCAAGAGCAATCCAAGCTCACTGCTGCCAACCGAGGTCGCGGACGGGGCCGGCCTAAGGGTAGTGGTAGGGGAAGAGGGCGGACCCAAAAGAAGAAAGATGATGACGAGGATGAAAACGATGATGACCCACAGGAAGAGGAGGGTGAAGAAGCAGGTGAATCTGAGGAGGCTGAGGAGGCAGAACCAGAGGTTGAAAAACGAGCAGCCAAACCAAAGGCCAAAAGATCCACGCCCACAGCCAAGTCGGTACCAAAGGCAAAGGCAAAGGCGCGCAAGGATGCAGCTGCTGCCGGTAGTCGCAAGCGCAGGGGAAGCTCAAAGGATGGGCAGGGAGGTGAAAAGGAGGAAGGGGCAGGTGACAAGGAGGGAGAGGGAGGTCCTAAGAAGAAGGCACCTAAAAGGGAGCTAATGCAGGAGCAGAAGGCCAAGGCGGCCAAGCGTAGTAGGAAGAGTTGCGCCTACGCAAAAGCGTTCAGGGAAGCCTTGGAAATCCACGGGGAGGTTGAGGCTAGGAAACGTGCAAAAATGGTAATTTGGTTGCATACAAGATTGCATAAATATAAGAATGCTTTGCAACAGGATTGATGCATGCAAAATGCAAAACCTTTTGAACAAAACAATGTGCTGCGCACCGCTAAGGCATATGCGCAAACCGAATGATGACTGGTAGAACTGTCTGAGTGGGCCTGTATGTTGAGGACCGGTCGTTTATATCTGAGACCTGGGGATGCAGCCAATGTAGCTGCGGGGGTGTGTCCCAGTTCACGGCCATTCCTGCCTCGATGATCTCCGAGCCGGGTTGGTCTTTGATCCTGGCTCGCGTGAGTTGAAAAGGACTCGATATGGCAGTGAGGTCCCTCAAGCGCGTGCCTGGGAATCCTCAGGCACATGAGTTCAATCATGCATCCGTACGTGTGGCCAGGTGATGCCAGCTTCCAGTGCGTGGCTTGCGCGGTGTGAGCTAGAAGGCGTGCCGTGGGTGACACGTTCACAAGTTTTCTGGGGAGAGGTGTACGTGGGGGAGTGCTCTTTGTACCCAGAAGCCTATCTGCTAAATGTGCTTTATTGCTCTAGATGTTAACTGTTTGCACTGTAGCAAGCATGAATCAAAACCGAAAGCGCCAAAATCAATCGTTTTTGGCACTTTCGTTTGTGGCCACCTAAGCACGTCTTACTGTGACATGTGTGAAGCAGCTGAAAAGGGTCAGGCTAGTTTGACAATTTGTGGCGGAGGGCTTTCGGCCATGGGGAGCTCGCTGCTTGTTCGATTGCTTCATGTACAGGCACCCAAGGCCTTGTTATGCGCGCGTGGCTTTTATTGAAATCTGAAAGATCAAATATATATATATATATCTATATATGAAAGCGCTACATGCTTTTGAGTAGCCATATGATGTTTGGAGAGGTGCTGATTGCAACAGTCGGGGCCTTTGGTGTGTAAGACTATGAAAACCACATACACGCAATGGATCGCTTGAGTGTGGTTTTCTTCAACCTACAGCTGTCATATCAGGTGTATATGTGGAGACGTTTGCTCAGGTTCTTTTACTACTCTGGCAAGAAAACCTTTCTTTCGATGGTTCCCTGGACTTCTTTGAGCTGTTTGCGGGGCAAGCAGAGGTCACAAAGTGCTGGTGACTTGCCTACTGCATGAACTAGTGTACTACAAAATAGATGTACAGTAATTGAAACCGAAGAATTGTATGGCACCAGGGTTTGACATGCATTGGTCGTGGGGGTCGCACTACCGCGCAAAACAGGCATGCAATATCCCTCGGCTCAGGAGAGACCATGGCTTTCGATGCTGTAACATTGATTTGGAATACGCGGAATGCATGGACTTTGAAAGGAGGTCCTGCTTTGCGTTGCGGGCTCACTGGGGAGGCGAAACAAAGGGTTGAACTGAAATGGAATCAATTTGATCATCCCTGTTTTCTACCAAGACAGGTTGAGATTCTGATGGTTTTATGACTTTGGCTTTCCTAGGTTGTGCTTGTGGGCCATTCTCAATCAAGCACCTGATGGTGTCAACCTTCTTGCACCAGTTTGCGGAAGCTGGAGTACAGTTTCCCGTGGGAGTACTCTGAGGACATTCATCAATCCAATGGGTCATCAACAGTTTTCTTCCGTGGGGTTTGGCAACCGGATGACCTCAAAGTGCTTGGGCCTTTACCTAATGCGAGTCTAAATCGTGACCCCTACAAAAACAAAAATGATTCCTATACTCTCTGAGGTGTGTCTTGCTAATCTTGGTTATTCTTGCCAAGAACTTGATATTCATTCTGGAGCAGCCATCCCAGTCATTGATGCCACGGCACAAGCGCCTGGAATGGCTAGTGAACAGAGTGGCTTATGTTTCTCGACATGTAAAGAAATCGAGGGAACAACCCCCGCCGTTCCTCCCATTTTCAGAGAGTCATTTCCTACCAACATCACAGCAATGCTGGCCGCCCAGGTTTACGAAGTTCACTTCTGGCAGATGCACTATGGCAAGGACTGTCCAAAAAGAACATTGGTCCTCAGCAATTTGAGGACCATTGACATGTTGGACCGTGGTGTTCTCACGAAAGCCGAGAAGGATGTCAAACATACCCTTGAAACAACTCGTACCGCTCTTGCACTATAAGCTTGTGCCTTCATTTATTTGTTCTTTGCATGTCCCACCTGTTGAGGCAAATATATCGACCGGTCAGGGGTGGCCCGCTTTCAAGGAAATTGCAACCTAAAATCAACACAGTCTGCACCTCAAGTTCATTAGGTGAAATCCATGGTTAATCCACCTGCTCGCCCAGGGCATACACGCGAGCATTTGGAGAACGGCTCCTTGAACTCTGCCGGCTGGGAAAGGGTGACGCCAGGTATGACCTGCGCACACGTGGGAAATTTTCACAGGGGAAATCGGACAGGGAGCTGTTTGAGGATCTTAAGATTGGTGACATTTGGTATGAGAGTAAGTGCCATGAAACCTTCTTCTACCTCTACAGCAGCAAGCATGTCAGGACTGTGTGCTGTCTTGACGGGTGTTCACTTTTAGATACCTGGGTTTTACACCCCTTTGTCACATGAACTGTCTAGGATTCCAGATTCTTGGGCGGTCAGTATGGAAAAGTTCAAGAAAGAACTCTCAGCGGAGGTGGGGACCTGATTTTAGCAGCACCTGTCTGACCCAATTTCTTGCTGCAGGTGAAGCTGGTGGAAGAGAACCCTGACAGGCAAACATGCCTCTAGCTGCTGTTTCTTGGAATTCTTGGGATGGCTTGGCGACCCAAAAGCTGAAGTTCCCAGCGCTATCCCTGAAAAACTGTATCGCTGTAACTTTTGGGTGGATATGTCACGGAAAAGAACCAAACTGGATACCCGCAATTTGAGCGCAAAAAACCGCAATGGGGCGCAAAAAGCCGCAATGGGGCGCAATTTGAAAAAGTGGCGGAACGGACGTTTTTTCTAGGCTACATGATCCATTTTTGATATACCTGTACCCTTTTAGGCTGCAAATCCAGCTGTAGTAGGGTTGCCGAGCACCTCATCCCTTTTCAATCCTTTTGATGCTCCAAATTAGCGTTTCTATCGACCTGTTGGTGTTATTTGACACCATTGAGACAACAATGGGAAAGCCAAAGCTGCATATGACTTGTGTGCTGCATGACTTTGGAGATGTGTTTGTGGATGTGTAGGTGTGCAAATAGCTGTGTGCACATATGGGTGTTTTTTTGGGCTCAGGGGACGTCAAGGTTTCCAGGATGCAAGAGGCCAGCGACTGTTGCAGTGTCCCATCTCACTCGTGCGTGTCTTTGGCAAAGGGCATAGGTTTGGTTGGAGGGGAGATGCACGAACCAGCAGCGATGGATATTGATGCCATGATACAAGTACTTTGGCTGGGATTGCCCTTGTGGTTTTCCCTTGTTTCCCTGGTGGGTTTTTTTAGGCTTCACTATTGCAATTGGCTAAGGCATCCAAGGACAGGATTGAATCAGCTCAGCGGCGGTTGGCCGACTTGCAGAGAGAGAAGACTATCGAACTACCTGAAACCCACCCTGAAGGCAAGGCATGATCTCCAGAGTCCTGACCTTGAATCCATACTGCGCATGCTGCATGTTTGCGTATACTTCTGTTTAGGTGCTCCGTACGTTGCCCGTGCTGATGGTGGATTTGTTGCTGGGAACGCTGTGACGCAGCTTGCTGAGTCTTCCATCCCTCCTCCATCACCTAGTGTGGTTACAGCTAAGTCCTCAGATTGCGAGCTTGTCCCTCCAATCCAGAGCAAAGAGGATTTGACCTTGGACTACATGGGGTGTGGGAACTCAGGGTTTCCTTCTGGAATGACTCCATCGCCTCAACCAAACTCACGCAAGCCCAAATCGCCACTGCCCGCCCCAAATGACCCTTCCTCAGGCACCCCTGGCAGCAAGGAAGCGATCGTACCAAAGGAAGCTGTGCCCGAACATCCCATAGCTCCCATGTCCAAGGAGACAACTTCCTCAGCCCAACCTGCTGCCGCACTACCAGCCACACCTCCCCCACCCCCTCAACTACCGGACGAAGGGGCAACTGCGTTTTTGGATGTGGCATCATACAGTGCATGTGCATATATGCATTTAAAAGTCACACCTGTGTACAGAATCCAAGGCTCAGGCGGTATGTGACTCCCAAGAAAGATGGGACGTTGAAATGCTCAAAGGACTGCTTTGACCTCTACCAGCAACCGGGTGGAAGTACCTTCTTTGCAACAAGGGCTTGACTTGAATAACACGAATACCACAATATATACCAACAGTGTTCCTCCTAGGTGCAAAACTGAAGGCATTGCTGACACGCCACGGACAGCTTGGCATAGTGGAAGCCTCCGTCAAACGCTGGATCGAACGCAAAGCACGCTTTGATAAAAAGGGTGGCTGGTACACCAAGATTTGGCTTGCTACTGAACGTCACTGGACGAAGTGTCGAGGTTGCAGTATAGCAGGTCTTGCAAGCTAGTGAGGTACACGCAGAGTACATGCATGTAGCTCAGGCCCATGATCCAGACTGCTTGGGAATGGGCAGAGAAACGTGGAAAGAAAAGAAAGAATCCGGTCCATGGGGAGGAAGAGATCTGTTTTGTGCTTGATGATGAGTTTTTGTTGAGAGAAGAAAGAGGGCAATCGTTGTCTGCAAGCGGCAGCTTTGAGATGGAGGACAGGTATTGCACACGCCGACGTATGAACATTCCAGCATATGACCATCCCACCACATGGTATGCATATATGTATGAGTTTGACATGGTAGGCGTGGAGCTGTGCAGGATCCTGACGCTGACTTGTTGGATGGCGTTGTTGTGCCAGAAGCTTCCGTCCATGCTAATGACGCTGCTAATTTTGCTGCTGACCAAATGTGTGGACATGAAGACGGGGACAAGAATGAAGCAGCACGCGCTGGCTCGTCTTCTTTCAAGTTTTTTGATGATATATAAATTGAGATCGATTAGGTTTCCTTCCACTTGTCCATGAACTACATCCTTGCCTTTGCCCAGGTTGCACTTCCCGAGTTTGAAGCAGAACGTCTCGCAGCTCTCCCTGCTCCCGACCTTTGTGGACGTTTGCAGCAAAAAGCTAGACAACAGTGACAAGGTCTTGGAGCCTGGGCTATTATAGCAGGAGCAGCCGGCGCAGCCAGCCACCAGTTTTTGCTTTCGATTATGTCTGACCGAGGAACAGCTTCAGGATGTGGGGACAGCGAAGGCAATTGAGTCTCTTGCCTTTTCACAACACCACCAGTTGAGTGTCTATTGCCATGAGCTGCAATTTAGGTAGGCGCTAGGTGTTGTTTCCTTGCACTGCTTGTCTATTATGACCTGAAGACGCATTTATTAGGCTGATTGGGCAAATGAAGACCGTGCTTGCAGAGCTGAAGAAAACCCACCAGCGCATGATCGAGATTCAAGCGGACTCGTTGGTGAATGTGGATAGGTAGGGCTTTGTTGTTCATTTGACAGGTTGAAGCAGCTGTTTGAAAGGGACCTTGTCTGGGGTTGGCCTGTTGTTCTTTGGCAGGGACTTCGAAAAGGAGTTGCAACCTCTTCTGACAACTTGCACAAAGTTGGATGTGACATTGAACAACTATGTTGTACGTGCCAGGTTGCAACCTTATTTTATGTCCGCATGAGTATGTGCAGCATATGTATGTGTGCACTTGTGGGTGTCATCTTCGATATTTTTGAGGAGCATCAAGAAGCCCAAGGCCAAGGCCTCTGACTCCGGCAGGGCGAAATCCAAGGCCCAGCCTAAGAAAAAGGCGAAGGCCAAAAAGCAACCCCGAAAACGGGCTGCGCCGGCAGGTGAGGAATAGATGACTCCCAATTTTGGTGGACGCGTGATTGTGGCATAGACTGGAGGGTCATTCTGATCCTATGCATAACACGCTCGAGGTGTCCCATGTTTTTGTGGCCCTGATCCTCCAGCAGCTACTGCACTTCTGACATATCTCCAGATGGAAAAGGTAGTGAGTTCATTCCGACCAGCTGTCTTGTTCAGCAAAACACTTGGGCCTATATATATATATATGCCGCCTATATATAGTACATATATATATATATATGTAGTAATATATACTGGGTGGGCACCGTCTCCCTGGGCAGGTGAATTGGAGAAACGGCAATTGGACAGCTCCTTAGCTGCCTAGCTCAGAAGCTTGCAAAAAAAAACCTTGGTTTTGAGAAATACCCCCAAAGAGTTTCATGCGCATTCACCCCAAACAGCTTGAACAAAACCATCCTGATCGCCTAGGTTCATCAGAAGATGATGTTGCTGGAGAACTTATCCAGTCTGTGGAGCAGGGTTCAGTCCCTGCGTACAGGGCCGTGGAAATGGCTGGAGTGGTTCGCCGGAAGTTGCAGAAACATGGTACTTCAGCTTAAGTGTTTGCAATTCACACCAGCAAAACCTATTTTGACAAAAGGTGCACTGGTGTTCCAACTTAGGTATTCGCGCTGGGTGGATGCTATCGAAGCTAGCTGCACGGAAGAAGAGCCCAAACAATGCCTGCCGTAAATTTCACCACGTTGCTCAAACTAGTGGGAAAAGACTTCCTGTTGCCATTGATTGGGTTCAGACCCCAATCCGTACCATCACAAAATCCAAAGTCACAGAAGAGTTGGTGGACTTCCCAACACTCCCGCTCTCATCTTGGATGCGGGCCTCCTTCGACCTCGGCGGCCATATATTTGTTGGAGGGAAGGGCATGGATCACCTCAACCAGTTTTGTGATATACTTCATGATTGGTGGATCAAGTACCGCCGGCTGGATCCCAATTTGCCTGTTTACGAGGACTTTGATGAGTCTGACTGTAGGTTTCTCATCCCTATTGCCATCCATGGTGATGAGGGCCGTGGGAGATACAAACGACCTATCATGATATTTAGCTTTCAGCCCATCTTGACAAACTTCGAGGGCCAAGCAAACCTGAAAGGGTCTGGGTTGGTAAACATGTGCACGAAGCATGTTGTTTTTAAGACTTGTTTTGAACCAGTGTTCACAGGTTATGTTATATACATTGACGCTCCCTGTTAGGGCTACATATCTGAATCGTCTTCTTTTCACTGCAATCCCATCAAGCATGTACGCCAAGAGTGACAAGACCATTGATACTTTGGTTGAAGCAATGATCTCCGATTTCAACAGTCTGTACCAGCATGGCTTTCGAGTTCCTTACCATTGATTTGGGATATTTTCTTTTGGCTAGTTGGTACTTCGATTGAACACCCAGCAAACTAACTGAGATGTGTAGCATGGTGTAGCCTGTGGGTTCCAAGCACACATCCCAGGTGATGACTCCTGATGGACACGCGGTGGTCTTCAGGCCAGTTTATGTGGGCTTAAAGGGTGACTGGCCATATGTCAGGAAGATTGCAAAGTTGAGGACTGGCTTTCAAGCGACCATTCCCCGGAAGTGCCATTTGTGTGATGTTGAAGACTTTTTGCCTACACAATCGCAGTTTTTACTTTATGGTTTTGAATGACCGATACCCGAGTACGCGTTCCGGTCAACACGTTTTCCAGAACCAAGGATTGGTGGAACTTTTCTCCAATGGGTTCCCTCAGAAACCTTCGACCTGGCTACAACAACCCTTCCCCGTACAAAGATGACCATCTTCCTCTCAGTGATCTTCCTGGAGGTTCAGCGCCAGAAAGGCTACGCACTGACCCGATGCACACCTATGCCATTGGATATGGCAAAGATGAAAATGCCAGTGTGTTAGTGATTTTGGTCAAAGAGTGTGAACACTTTGGCCACCGGGGAAACCTCCAAAGCAAATTTGATAGGGCATTTGAATCATTTGCCACTTGGTGCAAAACTACCCGAAAGCACACCAGTATCACTGGCTTCAGCAAGAAGGAATTCAAAATGAGCGGGACCCTTGAATGCATATACTTTGTGCTTCATGTTTCATACAGCTGACCGTGTTCTTACAAGTTTGAGCCCTGGAGTAACCTAAACAACTGCTAAGGACGAACTTGTATCCCCGAGGAGGAGGAAAGGGCCACGATACCGGTGTTCTGGGTGCATGGCTGGAAACTGAATTGGCTACGGTTCGCACGGACTTGCTGGACATTTGGCGTGATTAATGCGATGTATATATATGGTAAATGATCCATAGCATAGTTGCCACGACTCCCCCAAGGAACCAAAACTGGTTGAGATTGTCCAAGTCATGAAGTATATGAACAAAGCGAGCTGCAAGTTTTGGCGGACCCTCTATGCCAATGGCATCTTCCTAGAAAGGGAAGCTGCAGAATGTGCGGTTGCTGCTGGATGGCAAATGATCGACCCTAGACTTAACAATAGACACCTGAAAATTGGTTGACGCAGTGACATCCGTATGCACTTGTCTATTTCAAGAGAGTTCTTAGGAAGCATATGCAAGCTTGGCGAACATGACCGCGCAGCTCTCTTGGTGCTACTTCAAAATGCGGCCAAAATGCCACATGCATGGGCATATTGTGCCACATGGTTTGTATGGGAATGTGAGTTTTGGGGTGTTTACTTTGTTGTTGATGCATGCATGTGTTGGTCGTACCTGATCCACGGCTTGCCCAGGCTGAGTATTGCTCACCAAGTTCAACTTGAAGGGTATGCAGTCAACCCCACTGTGTGGATGACGTGGCAGGATGAAGACTTTATTGGGAAAATTGCCCGGGCAAGCCGTAGACAGCATGCGCGCACGTGTCCAATCCGGACCATCCAAATGAGTTTAATCACGTACCGTCGACACTGGAAGTCGAGCTTTGGAATCAGCTGAGACCCCGACAAAAAGAGCTCCAAAGCTGATGGGGTTGGTGCCGATGTTGTAGTGTGTGTGTATGTATGTGTGTGTTGGCGATGGTTGATGGGAAGGGAAGGTTTGGAAGGGCTGGCCTTTATGGTCATGAGCGCTTTTTAAAGGAATGAGCGCTTTTTGAGGAAATGAGCAGTTTTTTTTTTGAGCACTTTTTTCTGTATCGAATGATTCTTCAGGTAAGCATACGTTTGATAATCAATGATCGTTGACTCGAACGATGAGCACTCCCACTCCATGAGCCTTTTTGGGTCTGTAGGCTGCAACATTATGTGTTCTCTATGGGTTTGGGGTTCCAAGCCGCCCTTGCTACAGCGGGTTTTGGAAGACCGGTGTCCGGGTTACTCATCAGCAAACACAACAGTCCAACAGTGGGAATCATGAATCCTTCCTCATCGTTTTGTCCCGTGGTGGTCAGAGTAGATGCCATAACCTACATGTCGTAAAAAGGTGGGGATCCATATGAAGAGCTCCTTAGATGGGGATATGTAGGGATCCAGTACCGACTCTACTCTCCGTCTGTATGTAGGCCAGTACCGCACGGATCCGACCGCCATGCCGGTGCCTTCCTCGTGGACCACTCCCATCCGCGAGCTGCGTGAAGAGGTGACCCCGATCCGATCGACGGTAGAAGACGAACGGCCACTGCGCTGCAGACGGTGATGTGGGTTTGAAACGCTACTAGGAACAAGTGCCACGCTACTAGTAACAGGTGCCTTACTAGTAGTAACAAGAAGCTACTAGGAACAAGAGATATTCCATCCAAAAAATGGTCACCGTTCTGCACGTATCGTTTCAAGTAATTTGAAGGATCATGCTCAGTATCACCTGGCATCACCAGAAGGCCTTTGTTGGCATTGTGCTTCAAAGTATTGTCAATCAAATAATCAAACATGATGTAAATTCATGTCTATTCATGTCAATTCCCTTGAACTATCTTATACGCTTGAGTCCTTAAGTGGGGTTGTCTATGACGAGAGCCAGCCGTGGCAACATCGGTCGATCGTTGATTTCTACCAGCACTACCGAGTGAGGGGATCTTCATGTCTTCTTGCCACCAAGTCTTGCTGCAGGCTGCAAGTGATTCAGGATGTTTTTAGAAACCATCGGAACTTGCGAAGAACCACGGTTTGGTCGGGAACTGTTTTTTCGGTTCGGCTCGCCGAATCAAGAACCGTTCAGAAAGATCAGATCTGTTCGGGTCCCAGCATCCTTGGGCCTGAATGTAGCGTTGCCATGTCAACACTTGCAACATGCCACCTGTCACAAGCTGTGAAGTGCCTTGAGCACGATGATGTTGGTGGGAGCGCCTTTCGGAGCGCGTGACTGTTGTCACTTTCTGCACATGATATGAGGCGTAGAAGTGAGAAGTACCCGCAGGGCAGTGGGGAGAGCGGTAACCCTGCAAAGTAGTTGTTAGTCATTTCGTAAGTGTTTTGCACACTTTGTGCCGTTGGCTGCACAACATTATCAACGATGTTTGGATATTGGTGGTGTGTGGGGGGTTGATGACGATCGATTGCAAGTGCATCTAAGATGAAGCTACATTCACACACTGGTTGGAAGCTGGTGCGGTTTTGGGGGGTGGGATGGGATGGGGTGGGGAGTTAATAGCGTTCGATAGCAAGTGCATCTAAGATGAAACTACATGCACACACGCTTTGGAGGGGGGGGGGGTTTTGGGTGGGGGATTAAGGACGATCGACTGCGAGTGCATCTAACATGAAGCTGCATGCACGCCAGGTACATCAAGGGCAGTTCAGAAGACTCACCAAAGAGTCCTTGTACAGTGTTATCGTTCACCTGTGCCGCAGACACCACAAAAGTTGAAAACATCATCAAGAGCGGCTGAAACGAAACAACGCACAAAACAGGGTAAATGAGTGACGCCGCGCTCCTAGGGCGCTCCGACCGTGTTTTTTGGATCAGTTCGTCTAGTTCAACGAACATGGATCGAAGAGAAAAAGTCCAAAACACCGAAGCTACTGAGGGATGTTACGGATTTTTTGTATACCAGCTTCTTCAAAGTGACCTTTTGAAGGTTCCTAAGTGACCCTTAGGAGGCTTAAGTGACCTCAAACCAGTTTATCAAAAGGTCACTTTGAAGAACCAGGTACTGATGTGACCAATTATAAAAGCCATATATACCCACCCATACCCAGATCACTTGCTACCCGATCTTTCCCCTTTCTCCAGGTACACCAGGAGCTCCAGAACTTTTCAGCTCGCCTTGCCGCCGTGGAGGCCCGTTTGGCATCACCGCTGACGCCCGGCGGCGAGGCCCGGCAACGGCGACAGAGCGTGTGGAAGACACCGACAGCGCAGACGGCGCAATCGGAGCCCTCCGAGGCCGGGGGAAGAGGGTTGGCGCATGGGGCGATCCCGAGGAATGACAGCTTTCAGAGTTGAACAATCTTTTGGCGTACTCCCTATTCCTCAGAAAACCCTTAAGGTTTTTGTTGAAATCATGTAACCTCAGCAGCCCTAGGAACGAGTATGTAGGTTAAACACCTGAAAGAGGTGGAGAGATGTGAACAGCTGGTTGCACCGGTAGAGCTACCTGGTTGCACCGGTAGCAGGCAGTACCGAACGTGAGAACCGAGTGAGGTCGAAGTTGTGATCTTCACAGCCAACCATGTGGAAGCTGGTGGCTGCTTGAGGGTAGCCATCCAGACAGGTCCAAGAATAGGATTTCCTGTTTTCAGGGTTTCACCACCATAGGGTCCAATAAGTATATCCACTTCATCATGGTGGAACTTCTTTGCATTTGCATAACGGGGCGGTAGTACGTCTGACGGGTGCGTCATGTGCGTCGGTGTGACCAGGAATTCGCAAAATTGCAGGTGATGATGAGAAAACACACGGGACGGACCAGGGAATGCCTTGTTTCATCATGAGTCAATGCATCGGCATTTTCACACATGTTGACGGAAGAAAGAAGACAGACCTGGATCGGTCTGCTCCCTTTTTCCAGAAGTCAAGCCATCTCTCAGTTGCAGACCTTCGTTTTGAAGCTGTGACCGGCCGTACCCGCTTTGTACCCTCAGGTGACTCCAAAATCCACAAACCGAAAGATTTGGAAGACTAACTCAGACGCGCCGGGCACTCCCTCGAACTATGTGGAGACCAACCAGCCGCATGAGACCTGGTTGAATGCGAATGAAGCAGTGACGCTAGGGATTGACGACAGTCCCAATGCGGCTGGAGAAAGGATGTCTCAGGCCTTCTGATGAAAACCTGCCGCGATGTTTCAAATGGCTAAAGTTTTGTACACAATTGGGAATTTCCCAAGGTCATTGAACAATATTGAACATATTGATTCGATAGCTGCTGAGGATTAAACTATGTAATAAAGAATAGAGTGCTGTTTAAGATCCAAATAATGACAGCTTGTCACATGAACGTTGTACATTTGACAAGCTTCAGTTTGTGTGCATCCTACCGACCCCAAGTTTCTGTTCTTTGGACAATTGGACAATGACTCTGTTGAGGCAGGTTCCACTGAAAGTGATCATGGCATGGAGGAGGTGGAAGTGCATTTCGAGGAAAGTGCTTGGAGTATTCCAATGGTCCTTGGACTGGTCGATGCCGGGAAGTTTGACACCGTCTATGCAGTGGTGCTGCTCTTTGTCAACTGCGGCATGCAGATCATGTTTTCAGGCTCTCGCAACCTTGGATGTTGTCCCAGCTTGCTAGCAGAGTCTGATGGATTCTTAAGTCGAACGAATGGGTTCTGTCAGTCGATTCACCCCACGAAGATGGAGGAACAATGGGGGAGAAAAACGAAGCAAGATGGAGGACCAGGAAGAAGAAGAGTGTAGCTCAAGAGTGTAGAACAAAAGGTGACCCAAAGGCACAAGTAAGGGGGTTCTTCCTTCAATCAATACCGGAATCCATCCTGAATCCATCGAGGATCCCATACTTAAGCCTGTGCCGTCATTGGTCGGCGCTGTTTGGTGTGTGTGTTTCATGACCTGTCATAGTCGGTCAACAATGATCAGAAAAGGCCGAAAAGGGACGAAAAACACTGAACCATCATCATCCACTAGGCCCAGGGCATGGGATCGGATCTACTTAGAGTACTTTGAGTACTCGGATCCCCCAAATACCCAACAAAACCGAGCTCGGCGGCGGCTTCGGTGCTCCGTCTCGGTCCTCGCTGCTGGCAGGGATCTTGCTCTCCGATGGCTTCCAGGGAGAAGAGTTTAGCAACCAAGTGAAGCATGCCCAAGTGTGGCGAACCAGTGTGGCGCATGACTACAAGTACATGGATCCTTGGAAAGAAGCGTCGACGCGTCCGCGTGACACTCCAACGGTTGTTTTGTCTGACACAGACCCCTTAATTGGAAAGCATGACCGGGCTTGAAAGGATGGCAGGTCTGACGCTCAGCCCCTTCCCTTCTTCACCAGATAGTGAGAGGTATGGGGTTCTTACATGTCCTTACTTCAATAAACTTCAGTGGAAAGAGTTGGCTGTGTGCGCTTTTCGAGACCGGGTGTCGTTGCAGGTGCTGTTCAGGTGTCTTTGTGATTGCGCGGTGCTTTAGAGACAAGGTGTGGGTGCAGCTGCTGTTTGTGCAGGTGCTGTTGCCGGGTGTTTCTGGAATTATGCCATAGTGCGCTATTCCTTACTGTAACTGTAGCTGTTTGGATGCTTCAAGCGTCTGTGTTGTTTGGAGAAATGGTCCACAGCAATGGATGCTTTTCCCGACAGCGCAACTGAACTTGGACCAACGTGCTTGTCGGAGCGAAACGTCCCCGACCGGAATTTCACCATGAAAATGCTGAAACACCGAAACACCTGGATCCTTGAAAAACACTCTTTGGGGCCGGTGATTGTTGGTATAGAAAGCTTGCTTGGTTCCTTGGTTGCGACGGCGGTGGTGGTGGTGGTGGTGGTGGTGGCGGTGGTGGTGGTGGTGGTCATGTGACGTGTTGGTGACACCACCATGGTGGTGCTGACG